CTATTTTTATAGAATTATATATATATATATATATATATATATATATATATACATATATATATGCACCTTTCAAAGCTTTGCTCAGTAGGAACTGAGTTGCCATGTATGCAGCAGCTTCCACATATGCCATTCATTTTAAAATTGAAATGAAAGGATTACAGCTTCTGCTCATTGTCTCATTGTCATTCTGAGTGTAAATGATATGGTACGCTTTCAAACGCAAACCCCAGGCGCTATTCAGAAAGAATCTTAAAACAATAAGGAACTGTTGCAGTACGTAAATGGATAATCTTACATGCATCACAGTTTCCACTGGAATTTGACATGGTCATCTGTGCAAAAGTGCACCAATATCCATATTATACTGACACTTGATTAAGTTAGGAGTCAAAAAGAGAAGAAACCGAAATATAGAGAGCACAGCGGAATTTAAATCATTCTCGGACTTCAAAAGCAAGACGAGAAGGCAAATTAATCTTGCAGATGTTTCACTCTGCTCATGCACCATTCAGAACAGACAGGGTCAGTGCTTTAACCCAACTGGCAACGTAGAGACTGGCAACGTAGAGACTCTCTTAAGATTCAGATCACTGCTTGTGCACAAATGCACTGCTTTGAGACGAAGAGCATAAGCAAAGGAAATTAAATTTCAGAAAAGTCAAAGATGTGATAGGAAAGGACTCGTGCATTGGCCTGTAAGCGTGGCTTTGTTGCGTATCACATCAAAGAATGCAAGACAATTAAGTCTACTAATGTGCTTTGCAGGAGTCATTACATTTGTTTACTATATGAGAGAAGATAAGGTACAATACCAAGAAAATGCAGCCTATAAACATAATCATTTCATTCCCTTCTTCATGGCTGGGCTCCAGTGGATCTGGCAGGAGGAATATGGGGCATGCTAAAAAGGGAACCTGGGATAATATTTAAGGTACTGGATGCAAATAAGCAGGCCACATTCCCCTGGCATGGCAACCATTTAACTGTCAGGAGGCATTTCATGCAGGCTGTGTGATAATCCATATTACAAGGCAGTGAGACAGGAGAGCGTGAACCTTCTATCGGCTGCCACTTGGTGAATTTGCTGGTGTGAAAACAGAAACCATTAGATAATTATCCTTAGTGAAGCTGGTTTAAAAAGCCTATTTGAATGAGCTACACGACAATCGCTGAATGTTTCTATTCATCACTGTCATCACTGTTTGAAAATACCAAGGGGTCAAAGTTAGCATAGCACCGTTACCCCCTGCTTGTAGATGCCATAACTACACTTCTGTACCTCAAAGTCATTTTTCTTCTCTGACGGCCAGTTAAAATTATTTGTGTATTTTGACTAAATAGATTATTTTGCAAGCAACATATAAATAGTTTAATCAGTATCACATTAGCAAGAGAGCTTCTGTTAGTAATATCAGCACAGCAATACTGATATTCTGACCAACAGTACAATTATATAAAATTGTTTTTGTACTTTAAAATTAACCAGTAGTTAATATGTGGAAACATACATTTGACTGTTACTTTGCCTATTTTTGCTCTTCTAAATGAAAGTAGTTTCAAACAAGTCCACAGCTGAATTAACTCTCAGGTGTCTCAAAGCAACGTGGTTAGAACTAATTGTTTGAGTGAATGATTCAATGACTCACTCAAGTACTTTTTTCATCCCTGGATAAATCAGTTGCTTCAACAAATTGGTTGAGGCAATGATTCAATAACTTACTCATAAAGCGAGATGCTTGTTTTGTTACTGAGTGGCTCAGTTTAAACAAATCAGTTGAATCAATGATTAAATGACTCGCTCATAAAGAGAGTCGCTGAATGAATCAGTGGTTTGAACAAACTGGCTGAGTCAACAATTCAGTTCAGTGAGTTTTCAGTCTTTAAGGCTGTGCCCTGGCCAAATCTTTTGTAAATGATGGGTCCATTCCCTTGGAAGTTACTGATTGTGCCGGCATACAGTTCTCCATCTGTAAAACCGTAACTTCAAACCAACAGATATAAATACATTATACCAATTTTTGTGGCACGTACCGGCCATAATGGCCGTGGACTTGTATTCAGGGTTGTTGAATTAACTGTCAGGTGTCTCAGAGCAGTGTGGTTAGAACTAATTGTTTGAGGGAATGATTCAAAGACTCACTCACCAGAGATTATTTCATCCCTAGATAAATCAATTGTTTCAACAAACTGGTTGATGCAATGATTCAGTGACTTACTCATAAAGCAAGATGCTTGTTTTGTTACTGAATGACTCAGTTTAACAAATCAGTTGAGCCAATGATTCAATGACACACTCATAAAGAGAGTCACTGAATGAATCAGTGGTTTGAACAAACTTGTTGAGTCAACAATTCAGTTCAGTGAGTTTTCAGTCTTTAAGGCTGTGCCCTGTCCAAGGCTTTTGTAAATGATGGGTTCATTCCCTTGGAAGTTACTGACTGTGCCAGCATACAGTTCTCCACAAGGATATTATAGTTTTGAATGTTTAAATTAGTTTTTATTTTAATATCGTTTTCAAATTTCATATAATTTCAGTTTAGTTTTAATTAGTTTCATTAATGGTTTTGTTAGTTTTAGTTTAGTTTTTATTTTGTGAACACATTTCTATTTAGTTTTTATATATTTTAGTTTCAGTTTTAGTTTTAGTAATTATAGTTTAGCATGGAGTTAATGGAACACTTCCAGTGTAGACCAAAGCAAGACATTTGATTTTAGTTTCGTTTAGTTTTAGTTTTTCATTTATTTTGAAATTTTAATTTTATTTCAGTTTTCGTTTACGAAAGTAACCTTGGTTCTCCATCTGTAAAACCATAATTTCAAACCAACAGATATTAACAAAGCAAGTCGGAAAAGAGTGTTGCATACATACAATTCATTACACCAATTTTTGTGGCACATAGCAGCAATGATGGCCATGGACTTGTATTCAGGGTTGCTGAATTAATTGTCAGGAGCCTCAAAGCAGTGTGGTTACAACTAACTGTTTGAGTGAATGATTCAAAGACTCACTCACCGGTGCTTATTTTATGCCTGGATAAATCAGTTGTTTCAACAAATTGGTTGAGGCAATGATTCAATGACTTACTTATAAAGCGAGACGCTTGTTTTGTTACTGAATGACTCAGTTTAAACAAATCAGTTGAGTCAATGACTCCCAAAGAGAGTCACTGAATGAATCAGTGATTTGAACAAACTGGTTCAAGTCAACAATTTAATGACTCACTAAAAAACAAATTCACTTACTTTGTTCCTGAATGAATCAGTAAACAAATAATTTGAGTGAATGATTCAATGACTCCCTCATAAAGACGGTGCTATCACAACTCAGTCTGTCTAAACAATCAAACACAGACAAGCAGATCTGCTTTATCTAGATCAATACAAACAGTGAAAATTCCCATTGCTGTTGGACTAACTGTTATATAATACATGAAACTAAATATTTATTAGCTCTTTTCCCTCTTTATTCACTACTGAAAAGTTTGGAACTTTGCACATATGATGCCATTGGCTATTTAGTGTTCTTACAGCCTAATTTTCCTGCAGATCCAGTCACATAGCATTTACAACTCAGATGATTGGCTCGAAAATACCTGGATGCACCCACAGGATAATTTTCTCCAGGTAGTATTGACCTCTCTGGAGGAACTGTGAGGAATGTGTGTGCTTTGTATGTAATGTGCATTTTCAGCTGCACCTCAACTTGATGGATGAACGTGAATATTTGCTGAGCAGTGATAAGAATTTGAGGTGCTCTGCATTGAGGAATGCGTCTTTGAAACACAAACCATTTAATCTCTCTGAAAGGTAGCACACCTCTCTCACCTCGGTGTGACAGATAAAAACCATCATAAGGTCAATGTAAGCACACACACACACACAATATTTTCCACATCTGTGCACCAATATTAAAATGCACAAACATACTGGCATGTATTCCTTTCCACTGCATTTGTATAAATGTTGTGTCTGTACATGTATGTAGTTGAGTTATTGCTGTAGGGGGAATAGCCCTAATCCAACCGCCTACGACATTGTGATTATGCAAAACTGTCCCTCACCTTACACACGCGAGCGATGCGTGACACAATGGTGTTGTCAAAGAAATCGAACTCCTTTCCCGCTTCACTGAAGAAGAAGTAAATCTTATCATCATCGCCGACTGCGTTGCCTTTGGGCAAACTCTCCTGAATGTAGGCTGAGCCTACAAAAGCGGGGTCTGTTGGAGAAATAAAAACAAGTGTCAATCCACGCCATGCAACGTACACAGAGACAGCAGCGTTTGTAAGTAATGTGGACTTTATGTTTCAAATATAGCCACTGCTCCACCTGAAACCCCTTTTACATGACAATCTTTAGTTGTAATTACTGATAGAAATCTTTTGTTACACTATCAAAGTGCTTAGTATTGATTTTGCATATGTGTCTTTCATCAACTTTGCCACTTATGGCAAAATATTAAGCTATTACTCAGTGCTCTTTAGTAAAGTGAGAAGGGTTCAACTGTGTAAACTGACGCTAAAATTGATTTGTTTTGTTCTCTGTAGTTTTGCTTTACATGAATAATTCTCTGCTGTGCCAAAATTGCCTCTCAGTGGTAAGTTCAGGGGAGTTGAGTCCCTAAAGAGAACAGAATGGAGGGGAATTGTGCCTGCTGGTAGAGCCATTTACTTCCATGCTGTTTGCGCTATTGTAGTGCCTGAATTACTTAAAGGGATAGTTCAACAAAAATTTAAATTGTGGTCATTTACTCCCTGTCATGTCGTTACAAACCTGTATGACTTACTTTCTTTCTTTTAATCTTCTACTCTTTTAATCCTCTTTAAATCAGTTTTGATAATTGAAATACAACTTAATAGATAAAATAAAATGCAAATATTCAACTTAAAAAAAAAACGCTTAAAAGTTAGAAGTGTTGCCTTGGCAAGTTGAAGTAAAATTATTAAAACCTAAAACCTAAATAAAGAATTAATTAAAGCTGTAATGAAATATAAAAATGACAAAATAAAAATCACAAAATAACAAAGTTTCCTAAAACAAAATAAAAATAAAAACTGTAAAAATAAATACCATAATAATATATAAATAATAAAAAAAGAAAATCACATCATGGACTCAAACATCAATTTCCATGGCTTTCCATGTGCAATAATAGTGCAATGTTAATTGTACCTGGCAAAAATAACTTTTTTTTTTGTGAGGTGCAATTGACAATGAACAGAATTAATATAAAATGAAAGTATGGTTGCTTTAATATCTAAACATTTATGGCTATTTCAGTTAGTATTGAGTTGACTATGTACCTTTTTTTTTCTACACACTGGTAGAGTAACATTAGATATATCGAGCTGAGAAGATATTCCATTCAATCCAATGCATTTTATATAACTTTTCACAATAAATATTGTTCTTAAGCCTGAATATACAGTAAGTGACAATGGTTCGGAAAACTTCCTGAAAGCCATTAGCACCTGGTTAAACTGAATTGTGGCAGGTGATTAATGTACAAGTTTTTGCGCTCAAATACTGTGCACAAAAGTGCTGCAGTTGTTAGTGAATCAGTCCTATTAAGAGCAGGATGGTAGTGGATATGGCTTTTACCTTGAAGCCAGTTCAGTGAGTTTTCAGTCTTTAAGGCTGTGCCCTGTCCAAGGCTTTTGTAAATGATGGGTTCATTCCCTTGGAAGTTACTGACTGTGCCGGCATACAGTTCTCCATCTGTAAAACCATCATTTCAAACCAAAAGATATTAATAAAGCAAGTCGGAAAAGAGTGTTGCACACATACAATACATTACACCAATGTTTGTGGTATGTACCGGCCATGATGGCTGTGGATTTGTATTCAGGGTTGAAAGGGCACCGGCTACGACCATCTTCAGTGACTATTTCTCCCATTTCATTGCTCACCAGGGAAAAATCAGATGTGTTCTGGAAGAAAAAAGACACAGGGACATGCTTGTAAAGACAGCAAGCACTGTCTCTTGTATCGACTGTCCTGACTGCTCAGATCTACACCTGAGTAGATCTAAACAAGGACCTTACTTTGCTGAACAGAACATCATGTTATTGCGATAAGTCTGAAGAGATCGTAAGAACAGAATGAACGCACTCAAAGCGAAGGGATGATGTGTGTACTATCGACTCTGTGTGGGCCAAGGATACTGATAAAAAGGATGTTTGGAAGGATCTGCAGCTGTACGCACTCTGGTTATTTTTTGTTTGTGTCTTAATAGGGGCATAAAGGTAAAATATGCATCTGCAAACCATTTCAGGGGACAGCTGTGATAGAATCAGCTCATGTAGGCGAAGTACACTATCCTAAAACTTCAGTTTTAGTGGTCAGTGTCGACCCCTCGAATGCATAGACCGATCCAGGCATAGTCTCCAGAGTGAAGGGTCTAAGTAAAGTGCAGGGCCATAATAATTTCTCATCCAAGCAGCATCTACCCTTAGGGAGAGCTGAAGAGTGTATTTCTGAGGACATTTTGATTGACTGAGTAAATTACATGGATAATTAATTCCTCCCCTGCAGCCTGTTAAAAGCATGGAGGGAGGTGGTGAAATCCTGCAGGACAATAGAACAAAATGAAACAGTACTTACGATGTATGCGCAGATAGGGCTGAAAGCATACGTTCCACACACATACAGGTGAGTGCTGTTCACGCGCAGTAAAATCTTGATGTAATTGAAGCAGTCAGTCTGGAATCAGGAAGTGGAAAAAAGGAAATGCATAAGAGAGGGAGAGACAGATAACGCAGCCTGCTAAAAGCATGGAGGGAGGTGGTGAAATCCTGCAGGACAATAGAACAAAATGAAACAGTACTTACGATGTATGCGCAGATAGGGCTGAAAGCATACGTTCCACACACATACAGGTGAGTGCTGTTCACGCGCAGTAAAATCTTGATGTAATTGAAGCAGTCAGTCTGGAATCAGGAAGTGGAAAAAAGGAAATGCATAAGAGAGGGAGAGACAGATAACAATTTAAGACTTAAGACATGGATGTGACAGTGCAGGGCCTTGATGAGCCATTAGTTAATTTGGAGTCCTAACATTTTTGATAACAAGAACCCCAAAATATGATGATCCCCTTGCAATGGACCCTGTTCCTAAAATTAAAAGGCTGCTATGTATTTTCATGAATATATAAAGACTAATTTGTACTGTTTGTGACTAATAGTACTCTAGTAAAAAAGTAATATATTTAAAATACATTTATTTCATACTACGTATAGTTAAAATCTATTAACATATTTACTGACATATCGCTCAAGACTTACTGATATAAAAATTAAAATGAACCCTCAAGAATCCTTTGTATAGCAGCCCTTCATTTGTCATTCGTGGACAAATTTGGGCACGAAGGTCTCAGCTGTAATCCCCAATTTTTTTTGTTAAATAAATGTCATATCACTGTCTTCGATAAAATAAAAACTATCAATTTATGCAGTTTTTTGTGATTTTTTGTGGTTTTTTTATTTATTTACCTCTAAAGGTACCATCTTTTTTTAATGTAAAATATGATTATTTTTATGTTATATTTATATATATTTTTTTACTTTAGTAAAAAAATAATTCCAGTAAGTTCAGACAGCCAAAACCTACAAATTTGGTGACTTTGGTGACATCTGGTGGCTTATGATGGTATCAAAATATCAAAATATCAAAAATATCAATAGCTACTAGTTGGCAGTAGTTTTCAAAGGCTTTTTTTGTGGGTATGTGGGTGTGTGTGTGAGAGAGAGAGTGATGTCTGATTGTTTGACACATTGAGAATGTTGTAATGGCTCACCCCTTCATTTATGTGTGTGTTTGATCTGCATTGTGTTTGATTTATTGGACAAATAAAAAAAAAAACATTTTTGTGGCTTTTGTGTGTGTGTGTGTGTGTGTGTGTGTGAGTGTTTGACACATTGAGAATGTTGTATAGGTTCAAACCTTCATTTCTGTGTATATTTGATCTGCATTGGATTTATAGATTTTTATTGGACAAATAAAAAAAATGCTTTGAATTTTAGTATTTCCCATTCATTTCCTATGGGTGCCCATTTTTGGGCACGAATGACAAATTAAGGAGGTTTTTTTTTTTTTCAACCACTTAACTTTGTTGAATCAAGTCCTCTTTTTTTGTGTGTGTGTTCAGGTGGCAAACTTACGAAAAGTAGCCAAGTCTTGAACCGATTAAGGAAACTATTTAAAAAAAATAAATAAAAAGATTTTGCCCAAATTTGTCCCGAATGACGATTGAGGGTTAAACTTTATTTGGAGTATCACTTGTTCACAATGCACATTTCTTAATAATATGCCTAAAATATGTTTTAATGTCACTATTGATGAGGACTTTATGATCTTTAAATAATATCTGTCTTTAAATGTAAGATATTTAAAGTGTACCTGAAGTATACTTGCAATAGTTTCACTTTAGCACAATCAAATATACTTAAGTATATCTTTAGTTGGACTTTAGCACTACTTCCGCACAATTAAAGTGCATTAAGTACAAAATTAGTTGTTAGAATTTAGCAGACTTTAAGTATACCAGTTTAGTATACTAAAAGTTCAATTACAGGGTATTATTAGGTTCACAAATATGTAAATGTATTTGTAGTTTACTGTGTTTAGCATGAAATAAATGTATTTCAAAAACATGTTAATATATTTATTTTTCACTATGGGTAAGAATTACATTGTAATAAAAATACAATACAAAATGTTTTTAATACATTTTTTATTTTTTATTATTATTTTAATTAACACTAGCAAGGAAAAACTGTCTAGAAAGATATAACACAAATACAAACTATTATTAAAATTTGTAGGTTGTAACGTAAGGAGGGAAATATGAACATGCTTTCCCCCCACAAAATTATGTGCAGATTTGCTTTTATTTCTTACAAGTGCAAGTACAACTTTCTTACAAGTAAAAACTATGGTTCTTAATAGAATTAAATTATCACAATTAATATCATGATTTCGGATCAGTCTTTAAAAACAGAATGTAAGTAAACTAATTGCTAATACAACTGATTTTTTTAATAATAAAGTTTGGAGCAACTCAAGGGAGGACAGATGATGACAGAATTTTCAGTTTAAATCAAATGATATGCGGATAAAGTGTGATTTAATCAAAATGATCAAATTTAGACATGTATGAGCAATTTCTGATTGTTTTTAAAGGGATTTTTTTACCCAAAAATGACAATTTTGTCATCATTTCCTCTCCTGTTGTTCCAAACCTATTTGACCTTTCTTCTTTAGTGGTAAATAAAAGAAGATATTTTTAGAAATGTCTCAGTATTTTTTTCCATACATACAATAGAACCCAATGGGTTCCACTGTTGTTTGTTTCCCAACACTCTTCAAAATATCTTCTTTTGTATTCGAGAGAAGAAACACAGTCAAACAGGTTTGGAACAAAATATGTAAATTAACTGTAATGAGTAAATAATGACAGATTTTTGAACGGGAACGTATGATAATTATGCAAATGAATTTTCCAAGATTCAAAACTAATACACACAAACAGTTGAGCGTTATATAAAGGCAAATGTTCAAAGCAAGCACCAGGTTGTGTGCACAAGTGTTGTCTGGCTGGGCCTCAGAACTTGTTTTCACATCACTGGGTTTGATCTAAATCCTCTGTAATAGTCTGGGAGAGGTTTCTGGCAGCTGTGTGTCATCGGTCTCAAAAAACAGCAGTTATTACTGCGTCTTCATCAGGGTCCCAACATCCATCCAAACCCGGCTCCCAAGACAAATCAATCTGGCAGCAAATTAGGCATGCAGATTATTAATCTAATAACAGCCCTTATGCAGTGTAAAGCTTTCAGGGAAATTACAGTGTGGACGTGTCAAGGCAATAACAGGTCCTACGAACTGAAAGTAGTGCGACGGGCAGTTTCTCGAATTCAAATTTAGCACAGTCATTTTGCAAATATCTATTTTAGAGACCGACTTCTTACTTGAGTTATATGAATCGACATGGCACTTCATGCTGAAACGTACAGACATCTCTCCACTTGGTTTGATGAATATCTCATTCACTCACCTGTAAATCTTTCCCTTTGAAACTGCACTCCTCTCTCTTTCTCTGTGGTGTGCTCCATGTTAACTGAAAAAGTGAAAATCGCAAGCTGCAGTTACATTAAAGTGTGCATTTACAGAAACATGATGCATTAACACGGACGTGAGTAGGCCTACAATGAGTCACAGTGAGTTGGCTGTAGCATATTGCAGTCTTGCCTTTCTTTAATGTTCAGAATGAATCAAGCAACGCAGAATATTTGCTGTGAACGTTGAAAGTCTATTTATGACTTAAAAACTTAAAGGAATAGTTCACCCAGAAATGAAAATTTTGTCATCATTTACTCACCCTCATGTCGTTACAAACCTGTATGAGTTTTTTTCTCATGTTGAACACAAAAGAAGATATTTTGAAGAAGTAAACAGTTGTTGTTCCCCATTGATTTCCATAGCAGGGAAAGAAATACTATGGAAGTCAATGGGACCATCAACCGTTTGATTACCAGCATTCTTCAAAATATCTTCTTTTATTCAACATAAGAAAAAAACTCATACAGGCTTGTAACGACATGAGGGTGAGTAAATGATGACAAAATTTTCATTTTTGGGTAAACTATCCCTTTAATTTGTTGAAAAATGTAATAGAGTAATACCTTGCAAAAATACAATAGGGGGAAGTAAGACAACTGGTAAAGTAGGACGCTTACAATGAATGGAAACTAAAGCTTCCAAGCTTCAAAAAGGACACAAAAGACCAATAAAAGAATCAGAAAGTTGGTCCTTTTGTGCTATATTTCATCATACGATAGTTTTGTGTGATGAACAAATGAAATTGAACCTATTGTTAATCATTCACTGAACTGTTCAAGTGAGCTGCATTCAATCAATCTGATTTTAGCCATTTGGATCATATTTTTTACCAATAAAACCAATGACAAATTGTCCGAAAAAAATTGACCCACTTTATCTGTATTCACTTTTATATGTGTACAAAACGTATGGGTGTGCTTAAGTGATGTCTATACCCAACATTAACGATATTCCACTCTCGTTTACTTATGCCCATATTACAGACTAATGCACATGCTTATACATCCTCCATAATAAAACACACACAGACATACTCACATTACGCTGCAGCTGTGTTCTGCTGATATCGGTGATATTGAGTGCGAAAAGAGTCTCTCGAGCGCCAACGTACAGCATGTTATCCTCTTTACTGAGGAGCAGAGAGGTGTAATTGAAGACTCCATTGGGTGAAAATCTCTTGGCCGACCTCTCGTTTGCATCTATGAGCAGATATGGAAAAAAGAGAGGGGAAAGGGAAGAATGTCAGCAAAACCGAGCCAAAAAAAGATTTACTGCTGGAAATATGATAAATGTGCAAAAGTCAGATATGTGATCGTGCTTTTCAGTTGGTTTTTCTTCAAGACACAGATTTTACATTGTAGCTTTGTATAATATTAGAGTACAAAAATGAATAAAAATAGCTTAAAATCAAACATTTAAATATGTTAATATTAAGAACAAATAATATTATTTTCTCTTGTTTTTTTGTCAAATTAACCCATATTCAATGTAGTCTGGGTCTGGTCATATTCTCTTTTACTTTGCATAGTTATAATGATAATTTTCAAGTATGAGAATATTTGTTTTGCTATCATAAATTCACAATTATCATTTTTTTCAATGTTTATTTTTTTATTTAATTTTATTTATTTTGTTTTTATTTTATTTCTTTTAATATTTTTATTTTATTTATTTTAATGTTTTTATTTGATTTTAATTATTTTATAATAATAATTAATTGAATTGAATTGAATTTTTTTATTTTATTTTATTTTACCCTGAACAAACCTGGGATTCACTTTTGGGTCAGTTGAGAAACAGTGCTTGGTAGTGTATTAGATAATAACGTCATATGTTTTCTACTGGCTGGCAGTGAGAAAGCTAAAACCTGTTACAGCCACAAAAAGTGTCTGAATCAATGTGAATGAGCATTTGTGTGGTCACTTATAGCTCGGAGACAGATGTTCATCTCTTAATCAGAGATACTGCACGGCATCATTATCATGGCAGCTCCTGCAGGCTGTTTCTCTGTTTCCATGACAGTGGCATCAATAAGAAGCAGTGTCTTTCCTACCAGTAGGGGGTGTTTGTTAAGAGGGTTAAGGGCATTGTGGCTGAAATTCCCTTTAGAATACTTTAGTGTGGCTTTTTTATGACTTCAGACAAGCCACTTGAGAATTTGGTGGTGATACAGACAGTGTGTAAAATGAAATGAGTGGATACACGTTTTCATCTCGTCTCTCCACAGGCTGGCATAACGAAGCAGTACTCCCATGCAACAATCATGACATCATTCCAAGATAGCAGCTCCTCTGGTCTTAAGACGCATGTCGAATCAATGTCAACAGGCTGTAAATACAAACTTCATCACTACATGGCAGATAACAAAATGTTCTCCTCATCTGTCATTGGCTTAATGGTTGAATTACTTGTCTTTCAGTCCAACATACACAAAATGAGAGCCAAAAGAAAAAAAAAATTTTTTAGGTTTAAACATGAACTGATATTTTTTTCTGTGTCACATGCGTCCTCCTTTTTCAGTATAAATAAATAAAAATAAAAATCCAAAAAATTAAATAAAATCAGGAGTATTCAGGAAATCTGTTTAGAAAAAAATAAATGTTTCAATGTGAACTGGTGTCTGTGTCAAATATTTTCTCCTATTTCAGTTTATTATGCAGAGAATAAAAAAATAAAAAAAAATAAAATAAAAAAATAAAATCAGGACTATTCAGGAAATCTCTTTAGAAAAATTATAATGTTTAAACATGAACTGGCCTTTTTCTGTCTCAAATACTTCCTCCTCTTTCAGTTTATCATGCAGAGAATAAAATAAAATAAAATAAATAAAGTTACTTTCACTTGCCCAAAAAGTTATACACTTCTCTTTTAGTGACTATAAATTACAAATACTGTTGTATAGAGTACAGATTGTTCATTTCATTATGGACTTAATGCATACCAATATCATACAAAATACAAGGTCATTGGGTATAAATGTTAAAGCTATCATGGCATACAAGCTGTGCTATTGATTTACTTGATTTACAGAATCCTTGCAAGACATCCACTTCTGGTAGGTCTTACTTAGAGAGCATGTAATCATTACACTGATTATGCTCCCATGGGTGACTTTGAGCTGAGGTAAGACTCTAAAAGCATCCGTGTCTCTGGGAGCTGCTGCAGAGGGTCTGAGCCCTCGCTTCCTGAACCCCGGGGGAGACAATGAGGTAATAATAAGGCATCAGCCCTCAACCAGGAGGGCTTATTACAACCAAATCCAGTCTGCTAAACCGCAGGAGGGGATCAACACGGCACATTAATGGCATGCTACTGGGGTCTCTGCCTCTGTGTGTCTCGTATTTCCCCTCTCTCTGATTACAGGATAAAACGGGGCACCACTCAACACCGGCAGCATTCATTTCACAGGGTTTGGGGAGAAATTTAATGGCGATTTAGCGAGACAAGGACAAAGGGCAATAGCTGCAACCAAACAGGGCTTAAGTGGGATTTGCACAGGCAGAAACCGTTCCCCCAATTATTCTCCAGAGTGCCACTGCTGGAGCGTTTTCCCTGTAGGTCACATAATGAGGCAAATAATTGTGCCCCATTAGGGGAAAATCACACATGTGAATGTTTTACTTCACTGTAAAATCCAAATGATGACAGTGGGCTGTGTTTCAGGAATTACAGTAAGTGTGACTTAACAGTATATATTAGTAAATATAATGATATATGTGACCCTGGACCTCATAAGTCGCACGGGCATATTTGTAGCAATAGCCAACAATACATTGTATGGGTCAAAATTATAAATTTTTCTTTTATGCCAAAAATCATTAGGATATTAAGTAATTCCATGAATATATTTTGTAAATTCCCTACCGTAAATATATCAGAAGTAAATTTTTGATTAGTAACATGCATTGCTAAGAACTTCATTTGGACAACTTTAAAGGTGATTCTATCAACATTTAGATTTTTTTGCACCATCAGATTCCAGATTTTCAAATAGTTGTATCTTGGCCAAATATTGTCCTTTTCTAACAAACCATACATCAATGGAAATCTCAATTTCAAAAAATTGACCCTTATGACTGGTTTTGTGGTCCACAGTCACATATAAATAATATCAATGATAAATCATATATTATGTATTTTTGCATAATATATAAAAAAGTTAAAATGTCCTTATATGAGAGTCACAAATTAATAACTGAATATGAATGCTTTTAATTAACATCATTATTTAATATAAATACTAACATTAAAGTGTTAATATTAATTAAAAGCTATAATATTAAAATATTTTAAGATTTTGATATGAATATTATATATTTAATATTTTGCACCCCATAACTTTTAAGCTGGTTGTGAAGCAGCTGTTACACTTTGCTAATTCAAAATGTTAAAATTAATCAATAATGAATGAATATATCCATACAAAACAAATAACTGCCCATTTTGCAGAAATAATGTTTGATGTTGATGTTTTACTGCAAATATATTGTTAATTTCCACCTCATGCTCATGATTTTAACTATAATACATACACATGTGGTCGGGCAGTCGCGTTATGGTCCAGCCGCAAAAGTCCAAAAGCTCAAATCGGATCTGAAAATTTTGCATACGCATATGGTCTGAATGCCACACAACACCTGTACTGCTCTCAATTGGAAATGAATGACTTCCAGTTTGTCGTTTGTTGTTTTTCATAGATAGTGAAAAGTCGGCTTAAGTATGATGAATTGTAACAGTAATGCAAGCACCAATAGTTATTTACTGTTGCATTGTCTTGGTCATTGTATGTTGTGATTTAAAGGGATTTATACATCCAGCTAATGACTAGCATGCTGCAACACAAGCTAGAAAATGTATACAGAGCTGTATAAACACCTGCCCACGTCCAGCACTAATTAAATGCAGACCACTTCAAATAAGCAAGGTCTTTGGCAATATCGGGCTGTTTTGGTTTTTGTGTTCACACATGTTATGCTCGAGATCTCTGTCTGTAATCACTTACGTGGTTTTAAAAAGGTGTGATTGCGAAACACAAGGAAAGAACTGCTCCACTTAAAACGAACTGCAACGAACAAAACTGATTAAGGATGACATGGAATGCAGTTCCAGAAAACAAACTACAATAACTTTAAATAAGCTTGTATAAGGGTGACGGAAGACCCCATCTAACCCCACATTTCTGATGCTCTGCTCATCGATTCCCATGTCTTGAAACATTAGCAATCCCCCCACAGACAATACGGTCTCTCTCTCAATGAGTCTTTGGTATTATTGTTTGAATTGACTGAGGTCAGTTCCCATAGGGCAATTCCATGACGACAGCTGCCATTCGCTTCCTCCAAACTGCACTGTTGCATTCTGGGAAAAAGGCTTATCCTGTTCCCACTCATGGGGAAAGAGGGCTGAGAGTGTCAACAAGAGTAAGAGGTACTTATGAGGCGAATAGTTATTGTCTCTTGTGCTACAGCAGTACAACATATCATAACTTGTACGTCCTTGTCTTGTTGACCCTCAATCTTCAAAGTCTCTCATACCTTGATCTATTATATTATGAGACACAGCTATGCTAGACTCTTTGTGAGGAATGAGATCATTACTGCCATTATGCAATTACATGTCTTTTTTTGGGGGGGGGGCGGGGAGACAGCCACTACTAAATGGATTTCCATATCCGCAGTGCTTTGCTTTCTAATCCATTTAGAGAGAAATTAATTATGCAGGCTTTTAGGGAACCCTTCCATGTTCGGTTTTCAGAGCGGAATTCCCTACGGCTGCTCTAACAGTACATGCCCGAAGTTAATTAGAGACATCCCGTTGAAAAGAGCGACTGCGTGAGGCAATCTGGCCATCAGTGTGAAAGATCACAGCTCTGTTTTGTTTAGGCCTCAGAAGACGGCTCATTTAAGTAAACAGTGTTTCTGATGATTTGAGCTTTCAGAGGAAAACGCTCAGAAGTCAGATGCCTATTACAATCCTGTAATACTGTACAATACTGTAAACCTAGTGGTTAGTGTCACTAAACCAGTTGCGTTTGCATTATTTCTCACCTTCCCGAGCGCCAGGTAAACAATGTATGCGCTGAAGGAGAAATAATGTCATCTCCAGGTGTCAGGAGAATGACAAGACCCCTGTTGCCTTAATGACAACGTGCTGACTGTTGAAGCTGCTTTTGATGTTTGGAAAAACAATCTGGAATAAT